TTCCTCATATTTTAGCATAAAATATTAACAATGATAAAACTGGTGGGTTTTTTTTCTGACAGATTTAAAAATGAAAGTTTTTCTTTTGCTTTGCGGGTTCTTTCTGTCATTATTCACAAGTATATGAACGTATATCTCACAATTAAAATGGTTATAAGGTATTAACACATCATCGTTAAACAATAAAATTGAATCTGTCTCTATTCTCAGATATCTGTTATTTTTTTCTGAAGTTGTCGACATACAACATTTCCTCCAAATAACGCTGATTCTTTTTTCTCTTTTGAAAAACAAACAGTCTCATCTGAAACAACTGACAGTCACAATAAAAGAGAAAAACTTACTTCATAGAGCTTGACTGTAAAATCATATATTATATATGAGCACAGTTTTCTTAGGTTTTGGTGAACTCTCAATTTCGTGGAAAGTTTATAGCCCAATGAATCTTGTGAACACGTGCCCGAGAAATCCACGAAAACAAAACTCTTACAAACATAAGTGATTGAATGGTGATTGACGTAATTAAGATCATCAATTTGCTTACACATAAATTAACAGTTATAAGGAGAAGAAAACCAAAACTCTTTTATATACATATATATATATATTATGTATTCCTGTAGTTTTCACATCCACCTGTAACACATATCGGAAGGATTTGCCAACAAATTTGCCATTTTTGATAATTCATTTTAGCACACAAAAGACGTTAAGCATGATTAAATGGCTCCTTTCACATCAATCAGAAGGCGGACAGTTGCAGAAAGATAAACTTTCTACTGAACAATTGCATCCGTATATAAACTTATTCCATTCTCCTTTGACATATTTAAATTATGGCATTTTCAAAAACTGAGAAAATGCTTATTTGAGTATTGCATCTGAAAGAAATAACAAAAACAATCGTTACACGTGGTTGAAATAAATACGACCGTATGAAAACATTAAAAGTTGTCAGGAAAAGAATAAATGAAAGTAAGTGAGTGAAATCTGGGTGCTATTATAACCTTTAAATCACCAACCCTACCCGCCCAAACCCGTCCATCCGCCCGCCCGCTCGCGTACTTCGTCATTTAATTACCCATGTAAATTCGGCAAGTTTGGAAAGATTTATCTCCCTTCCATCGTACACAGCTTGCGTATAACCTCGTATACAAATTTCTGCATCCGTGCGGTTTTCTCATATTTTTAAAAGAAATTATAGGCAGTATTTGACTACTCTACTAACATCAATATTCATAACATCTGGTTACCCACGATAACAAACCGTATATCTTCGCAAACGGTCCCTTATTTTGAAACTGGAAAGGACAGACCATGGTTTGGGAAAATAAAACGGTTTTCCATATTATAAGAGTAGAACAAACAAACAGAAGTCGAGTCAAAACCATTGTTATTTAGTCATATGATCATATATTCACCAAATCAGAAAAAACAAAAAATTGATATGACATTGTTTACTGGGTTTATCGACTATAGACAATGTCTTTTTAAAGAAGTCGAGCCAAAACCATTGTTATTTTAGTCATATGATCATATATTCACCAAATCAGAAAAAAGCTCATCCCTGGTTATACATTAAAAATTGATATGACATTGTTTACTGGGTTTATCGACTATAGACAATGTCTTTTTAAAGAGGAACCTGAATGCTGATAGGTTCGATTTTCAATGGATTTATTGTTGTATAAGAAAAAAAATGCCGAAAACCGCATCGAAATTCGACCATCCGTTTCCGAGATATATCCGTCTGAACGCGCCGATTCACACCTGCTTCGAGATGTTAATCAAGCAAGCGATCAAATTACCCTGATTTACATCCGGGTATTGGTGACGTCACTAATGGAAGCGCGTTTTTTCCTGTCACCTGTTTCCCGTTTTGTCGGAGGTCTATGTATATCACGTGCAAGTTCTCCTGTCTTGTTTTCCTTGCATTTTCGTCCGTGTCAAGGGTGTTCTGTCTCTGGTGATGTGTTGTGATTGGTTCAAACTGTCTCGTATTGTCATTTTAGGGTATAAGATGCTGTATGTCTAATAATTTGGGTGCAGAGCGTTTGATTAATTTCCACAGGGTGAAAACCTTCTCTGAGGTAGGTCGGGGGATGGTAGCGTAATTCGTTATTTTATCGGGTGGGAAGCTATAGCTGGGTGGAATGTAATTTTGTATAGAGATAGATAAGTTTATGTGTTCGGTGTAAGATGTGGGTCTCTGTGTCGGTATAGGCCTATGCCGTTGTTGATAATTCCTGTTAATTAATGTTTGCTGTTAAATAAATTGTTACATTTAAATTAGTAGTGTTTGTCCTCCTTCGAAAACAAAATACAAGCTGTACCCATCGAACCTGAGTTGACGGTGATACAGGGCGAGACGGGACCAGGTAACTGTTGACAATCAAGACAGTAGATATCTATTAGTTTTTCAGCTTTCCGAATAACACAAACTGCTATGATTAGGCATTCTGAGAATTTCCTTTCCATTAGTTTTTCTGATGTAACCTGTTCTGTTTTGCTGGATCGTGATCCCTTTTTGCCAATCGATGCTTTACGTTAAATAGTGTCGCCGGGGAGAAATTGGGATCACAGAGGTTTTGGCCAATAACAGCTTATCTTTAATACACTTTTTGGTTCGACAGAGAGAAGAAGGAGGACGATCAAGAACACAGTGTATGTAATTTCTTACAAACTTTATATCGAAGTGAAGCAATGTTAACTGTGGTCAGAGGTAACGATATTAATATCTTCAACGACTGGAAGTCTCTATTCTATCAGGCTGCACCAGTGTCAACAGGAAAGACAATTATAGTAATCTCGCCTCTACAGTCAGTAGTAGGGATCGAATCCAACAAGGTCGGGAAAGACGCTGACGAAACCGTCGCTATATTCAACTCTGAATTCCCAATCATATATTAATGCACCTAAATATTACTCGGGAAAGAGAAGTGAAGACTAGTTGATGTGCGGTATTTTCTGTCAAAGATTAAGCGCCATTGGTGTGGATAGATCACACTGTTTTACAATGATAAATAGTAAGCAAATAAATCAAATATGCTAAAAGTTAAATATTTACTTGAAAGTAATTAAGTTAAAGACAACTGCACTGTGATGGATTTAAATGAGCCATATATATACATTCATTTTGATAGAGGTTCGTAATCAACCCTATCTAAATACACTGTAGCATCTCATATAAATCAACTTTATTTCTTAATGTGTCGGTGTTGATGTATTTGTACGTGTTTTTGGGGAAAATTAATAATTTACACATACACCCCCCCCCACACACACACACCCACACACATGCATATATATATATATATATATATATATATATGGTTGACAGTATAGATAGTGATAGATTAACCAATTATATAAATAGTACATATGTTTATGGATGTTTGTATTGATGTATGTTATTAAATTTAACAACCCGTATTAAAAAAGAAGAAGAAGAAACCCGAAAAGGTGTGTAGTGATGTTTGAATGGAACACACTAATTCTGAAAGCAAAGGTGAGGAAGACTAAAAGGTAAAATTAATTATGATCCTGACTTGAAAAATTAATTACTGCAATTCACCATTAAAAGAGAGGATTTTAATTCAATATTTTGATTTTTTTTTCTTTCATCTTAGTTTTCGATCGTGAATATTTTTCTTCCTTAAGCTGTATTCTCAGAAACCGCCAAATGAGAAATTTTCTCTCCCAAGCCACTTGCTTAATTTTCTTGAATTCTCCAAATATACAGCATTTTAATAAGGTATAGAGATAAGGCTGACCGTCGACTGGGTCCCAGAATGTGGATAGGGAGACTAATTTTTCACTCTCCTGAACGAACGATAAACATCAAAATATTATCTGTATTAACAGATATTACTTTAACGCTAGAGAACGTATTTGGAATTATAAACGTAAATTAGCCTGTTGTTGTAAAAGACACTAAGTTTATATCACAAACTGAATATCACACATTTTCACTGTCCGTTATGTGATGTCTAACTAATCAGGTTTAAGAAATATTTCCCCTTAATGAAACAATCTTTCAAAATCTGCAAATATTTGAGCAATTTCAAGTTTCCAGATAAAAAATACATGTATAAAAGAAACGGGGTTAATATGTCTGTATCAGAATTACTCCAGCAACTCAAAATAACGACACTGTTTTTCAGATGATAATTAATTATACGCATCTGTGCTTGTAAGCATGTTTTTTCTAAAAGATATACACCCGTGTGTGATAAGACCATGGCAAGAAAATGGTTGGAATAGGCTAAGTCCGCCATTGTGAAAGAAAAGAAGAAATGCTTTACACTGTTATAGATACGAAGAACACAAATATATATTCAACATATCTACAAATTATGCATAGTCATAAACATGTAGTTAATACAACAGGAGAGTCCTGCTCCAGCATGAATTGATGGACAACATTTGATCAGATATTGACCAAGCCTCTATAGAAAGTAGGTAAACCGTAAGGAGTTGACGAAGATAAGGCGTGAGAATGACCGGTCATATCAATGACCATCGTAACAAACATTAGTATGCTCGGTCTCACTTTCTCCAGCAGGATAAATAAAATAATCTTTCAAGGGTTTACCAAATATAACGACTGTGTATCAAAAAAGGAAATCAGGTCTAAGTCATTGTCACCAAAACAACTTCTGGACCCAGATATTCAGTGTCTGCCGCTTATTAAAGCAGGTTTGTACATGCCTGTTGTATGCATATCGTACTTATGGTGTCATTCTTTATTCTCTTTTTTAAGGATATACGTGCTTTTGTTCACATTTTGACTTCGACTGATCGACTTTGAGTCCAAATTGCAACTTTGAGTCAAAATTTCTTTCTTATTGTCATTTTGATATTTTCTTGTTTTTTTACCCATGTGAGCATCGCCGTTTTAATCCGTCATCATTCATAAGTAATTATAAAATATTGGAATATGATCACGAATGTTATGACACAAAGATCAACAATTTGTATTACAGTGACAGCAGAACAAAATGTCCCCAAACCATCGTATCAAGGACACTCCGATGGACTCTGGATATTCGTGGATTGTTCTCATTGGTGAGTTTATCATTTATTATATTGCTATTTTTATTTTCAATAAGGTACAGTATATACAAAGTGATTTTTATAAATTAACATAACTTAAGTGAAAAAATTATTTGATATCCAACTTTCAATCCAGTAGAGGCTATTCATTGATTCCTTCACCTCTATTTCTTTCCGCACACAGTGTCAATTCAAACTCTTTGAGAACCATCACGTTTTGTTCAAGTTAATAATGCTCTCTCACTTTCTTATTTCATCCTTTTGTCTGAAAAAAAACCACCAGGTCAATTGAGATACTATATTACTTGCCACCTTGTGAGACGTAACCATCTTTGACTCTTCAACCTTGATATAGATCATGGAAATATTCTCAGAAACACAAACATCTAGCGGGTCAACGAGAGTTGCGTTCGTTCCCCTTTTGATGCCGTCTCTTAGCAATTTCTGATGCAATGCAAATTTGCAATTTCGTACACTGTATATGCTATGAATGGAATGAAAATAAACGACGTAAAGTAAGACTATTTCAAAGGCAATGCGTTATTCAACTTACGTGATCATGTCAAAAGTGCGCGGTCAATTAGAATTGAAGAAAAATAACATACAATGATGTACAGAGCATGTGACGAATAATTTATAAAACTGAGTCAACGAGATGTTACCCCCTTTCAGAATTCTCTAGTAATGTAGTGGACCAAAACTGTTTGCTTGCCAGGTTTAAAGCCCTGTGAACGGCCAGGGCCATTTTCGAGGTGGGGTCGCCTTGTAGTAGCTGGCGGCTATGTTCATTTGAGGTTACGAGCTCCTTGACTGATTCATCTGTCCTCATCTCGGTATGGGGAGAGGCAGAAGCAGAGTCAGAAATATTGACATAAATTGAAAATTAAATTGAAGATGCAGTGTACGTACCCAGTGATGATTTTCCTGTCCATCGAACATGTCAAATTAATCAAATAAAGTCATCAATAATGTTCTCACTTATCACTGATATCACGTATTTAGGTAGAAAGTTTCATGTGATCACGGCAAAATAGTCAGCAGCCAACTGTAATTGAAGGCCCAGCATCATATCTCCTCATCAAAACTTTCCAAAAGAGAAACATTCTGATAGTTGCATCTCACCAATGCTTTTTCTCTATGTGTAGTAGTTTTAATAGATTGCGTATTTTATTGTAGCTTCGTCTGGAATTTACATGCTACTTGGAGGGACAGCAAAGGCGTATGGCGTCCTCTACACAGAGTTTCTAATGTACTACGGGACCGGATCCGGAAACACAGCATGGATAGGAAGCGTCAACTCATTTTTATTCTTCGCGATGGGTAAAGAAACAAAAAAGTCTTCAAAACAAAAGAAAGAACTATTTTTATTGTGCTCTATGATTATAATTAATTTTTGGCGATTCTTAGTGTTAAATTAGTTAGTGAAAAAAACAACTTTTTCCTTCTTTAATATACATATATTTCCTTATGGGTTTCGATTAACAAAGTTGTATATCGGAGTAGTAAAAATGTATATTTTTGATGAATACTGATCATCAAGGACAGATAACCTAGAAACCATTATACCTTATAACATGGTGGACTTTAAAAGTGAAATTTCATGTATTTAGCAGTGAGGATCTACATCACAAATAAACGTAGAATTGTGAAGGACCGATTTAGCTTCAATACTTCTAAAACTTTATCAGTTAGCCTCATAGATGACTTTCTCAGCACCTTTGTGCTTTTGCTTGGAACTTAACTCGATTGACCGTGTGCTGTACTGAAAGGTCTTAATTGGTGAAGTGAAATATTAAAACACTGATATGAATTGCTTATAAGTATTTAATGAACAAAGTACAAAGATAATAAGACCAGATGTTCCGGAAGAGTAAGCGTCTTCTGCTTCATCAACGACACCTGCCATGTAAACCTTGGTCAATCTGAATAAGTAATGTATTGTTCTCAAATGAGAACAAGATATACAACAATGGAACCAACAGGCAACAAGCTTAAGTTTGATTTCGTTTATTATGAAAAAATTGCCTGTCTGATGCTATATCACCTGTACAATACTAAATAGATTTATTTTACTTCTTTCTTCATTTAGGTCCTCTAGCAAATCGTCTGTCAGAAGTGTTTACGTTTCGTCGTGTGATATTTTTCGGCAGTCTCCTAAATGGAATTGGGGTGTTCGCCAGCGCTTTCATGCCTTATATGGAACTCCATTATATAACTATTGGTCTTTTAGCAGGTTGGTAGACAATCGTTAGACTTTATACAAGGTGACTTAATTTATTTTCAAGTTAGGGGGTAGTATACGTATACTTGTTTTTTTCATCTAGAGGATCACGAATGTTAGTTTTAATACGAGACGAACTGGATTCCTGGTCAGATGCCACTCATTTGTATTTAGCAAATTATATCTCTGCTTTCAACCATAGATGACGCAGAAGCTGTGCCTTCTTTCCAGTCAAGTTGTTGATTAAGTCGAGTCAGGTTGCAGACGTGTTAAAAAGATAAAAGTGTTTTCCAGTGTAGTATATACCTGTTCACATGTATACCTGAATTCATTACAAGAAATTCTTCTCTAATGCTGATAGAGAAAACAGCGGCCATGATGGATATGATTCGGAGTCTACAATCTTAGAAGTTGGAAGCAGGCTAATTTGAATTGAACATAGGAATTTATTTATCAATCTCCATACAATATTCAATCAAAGAAGAAAAACACAGTATTAGTATTTTTTGTATCTGTTCTTTGATAGTATGGAATGAAAAGAAGTAAGAATTATTCTAATAGTTATTTCACTTGCAAATTCAGGTGTTGGTGGAGGGCTTGCTTTCACTCCAGCTAATACAATAGTGAGCTTCTATTTTGAGAGGAGGCGAGCTTTAGCCAACAGTATTATGATTTCAACAGCTGGACTTGGAAGCTTCCTTTTTCCTATTATGTACAGGTTTTTAATCGATAGATATGGGATACATGGAGCACTAATGATCATTGGCGGCTTGTTAACACATAATTGTGCATTTGCATTGCTTCTGCGACAACCTTCACAGATTATAAAGAAGTTCAGGAAAACTGTACCTGCCGATAATCCCGGCAGTTTTACGAGTAATGGACAGGAATCTGTCACGCTAATCGAAACGGAAGAGGAGACAAAGGAGAGCAGTTTATCAGAATGCAAGGAAACACACGTGAAAATTGAACAAACTTGCAAAACAACCCGGGAAAAAAGACCTTCGTTATCTTTTTCCACCTTATTTAATTTTTCTTTATTTCGTAATCCACGGTTTGCAATGTATGCCATGGCTTATACAGTGAATACGTTTGCATACATAGGAATATACACCGTGTTACCGGCACATATCATATCACATGGATACGGTAAAGAAAAGGTCGTTTTTGCCCTGTCCATAACAGGTGCGATGGAAATCATCAGCAAACTTTTCTTTGGTTGGATTGTAGACATTAAGATAATCCCTGTGAAAAAATTGCTGCTACTAACGTTTATTGTGAGTGCAGTTTCAGCAATGGTAATACCATTCTTTAATAACTTCATTGCTATCGCGGTGTATGCTGGGATAGTAGGTGTGTTCCCTGGGAGTTATTTTACTTTGATGGCGGTCGTGTTGTTACAGTGTATTCCTCTGACGGACCTGACCAGTGGCTTTGGTTTGACATGTCTATGCATATCATTTGGTGCAGTTTTATGTCAACCTATTGCAGGTAAATATAGAAACGTCAATAGCGGTTGAACAGAAAAAGAAGAAAAATATACAATATTACCCACAGGATATGCTTAATATGATTTTGAAATTTAGAAAACATCACGCGCGATATTGAGTGATAAACAAAGATGCTTTTCAATCCTGTATCTGTAATAGGATTTATCAATCATAATGTCAAAATTAGGACACACCTCTCTCATATTTATTTGTTACTAACACTAGCATAAGAACGATGACATTTTATGTTTGTTTTTTTAAAGTTTAATGCTATATGTACTATTAAGAGACCCTCAGCTAATTAGTTTGGTTGTGCGGCCGTCCTCAGGTGCGTGACACAAAGCTTGTGGACAAAATATCGAAAGAACCACTCAACAGATATAGTTCCTATTTATATACAATCATACAATTAAGATATACAGCTAATAAGTAATTAGTGGTCATCGGACAAGGTTATTTGGTCAATAAGCCACTAGACCACTTTTGAAAACAACTTGTGTAGAGATTTTGCATGAATCCATTAACGGGTTTTGTCATTAAGAATAAAGCAAAAATGCAGCATCAGGGAGTTGTGGCTTTATTTATGCGAGTTTATTCTAATTCATTCTCGGCCCAAGGTGAAAATTTCTCTATCGCTTATTAATTGCTTATTTACTCACCTGAAGCCGATGTTGCTTGCCATTTAGTTTATATTTCTTCTCTTATACATGGTAGGTTGGACTGAAGATGCTACAGGGACATGAAGACTATATAATACAAGAGTTTTAAGACAAAAAATACAATGCAAGTCACACAATTTCGAAGATTAAAAAAAATGTATCTTCTTTACTAAACCTAATGTCCAATTAAGTATATTTTCCTTCAATTATCTTAAATGATTTATTTATTGTTTTCGTAGGCTGGATTGAGGACGCTACAGGGACATGGAATACTTCCTTCTGGTTTCTAGGAGGCATGGCGTGTTTGGCCACCCTTATAGTACTATTGGAACCATTATTTATCAAACACTGGTTTCTGAGGGTAAAGCCCAACGACGTCGACAGCAAAGACAGTTCTGAAATGACGTCAGACCTAAAAGAATCTGGTACACTCGACAGGAAATACAGCCTGGATTTTGTATCACAACCAGAAAAAGACTACAATACTGCATTATGAATAAATGACATTTCAAAAGTAAACAGTATCTCATATCAATTTCATCAAGCATATTCTTACCTTAGCTGATACTGACTTAATCAAACACATTACATCGCTTCTGCATATTGTAAATACGTGATTTTTAAGTTGGATGAAAAAAATGTAATACATACATAAAAGGAAACAGAATACAAAACAAAATGATATGTTATCTGTATATCTTCAAGATCAGTTTATATCATCAAATACGAGCTGTCTCACAAAATCTGGTTTGAGACGAATTAGAGAAAGAGTTGTTACAATACGTTATCTCGAGACTGAGATGGATCGATGTCGATTATATAAGGGTTATCAATTTTGGCTTTTGCACCATTTTGTCAAAACTGCATAAAACATTTTACAAAAATTAATTTTATCTCTAAATAATTCGGTTTGACTTCTTGATCTCTCTTATCGGTCATTATTTGGTAACTCGTGATCTTCCCCCGTTTCATATCAGTAGTACTCATATTATATACGTAAAATACACGTAAATGTTTAAACTCAACAGCAGGTAAGTATGCTGTTTCTAGAATATGGTATAGTGAGATGCCCTATGGTTATATAGCTGATGACTGGCTTACAACAAGGCCATCGTTTAGTACACCTTTAATATTATTGGCCATTGTGTCCTAACATGTACTTGTATCTAGAATTATTCTTGATTGATATGTTCCGGGTACATGTTACAATGCTTTACCATGTTATGTCACATTATTCATTATTTCCTATTGAACATCTATAGAAAGAGAGGATGGTTCTCCAATGGCAGGATACCCGCTCACTCGGGTTTTTGCTCGAGCTACGTTCAACGCTTATATCATAACTGGAGTGTGGTTAAGGCATAAACTATTCACCACATTGTTTACATGTTTAATGTATATATTTACGTGTCTCAAAAGATTTAACGTCTTAAAAATGACATGACATCTTTATCTATTACCATCAACCATACCTTCAACATATTCAACTACTTATTCAAATTTTATGGAACATTTGACAAGTTTTGATTTTGATAGTAGAAATGCATAGTTACTCCTATGCGCTATTTAGATATCGGAAGAAAGAGCGACCATTGTAATCAATATTCATTACATCATGGTATATCATGATCACGCACCTGTGATATCTGTGTGTGGTATCTCTAATATATCCGTCATATCTACTCCAGTAATTAAGGTAATGTAACTATCTATGTGTTTATCGGATATACATTTGTTTAGAGGAACATATCACATAGTTATCAAAACGATTATTGAAGTGTTTGTTTATTCTCGGTATCATAGAAACAAACACATTTAATACGTGGACTCATCTTACATACACCGAGAGGCCGTCCTGAATTGACCTTAGCTGTTTATAGGACGTGAAGCAGAATAAACCAAATATCAGTATCACATTGTAGTCGATATGTATATAATATACACGTTTTAGTGCAATAGTTAATCAGTTGTCATACAGGTACGATGGAACATCACCAGTAATAACAAGTGTAACAAAATTATCTTTCCTCTTCGTTGAACAGACTATTTTTAGTCATTGAAGGTAATGTATATATATATATATATCAACATTAACATATGCATTTAACCGTTCTTGGATAACAAATACTTTGCATCCACCTTGTATCTTTTTAACATTGAATCATCTCAGATGTGACGCTTTGTTTATAAATTGTCTAGGTAGTTTTTTTACATATCTTGTTTGACTAATTATATACGATACGTATAACATCATATATTTACATATAAGGAAACGAACATTATTCCAGAGATGTATTTACTTACACAGCTACAGTGACTTTCATTACCGTCTGTGAGTCCAATTAGAAAGATTAATGATGTTTCACTACACGTTTAGGAAAAATAAAGGTTTTTCTATTTGAAATGTCATCAACACTGTTATACAGACTGGAAAGTGAGTTACCGTAGATATGATGCTTGTATCTATAATTAGTAAAGGATTTGAATGAGCAATAATGCATTACTGATTAGGTGATGAATGTTGTAAAATGCAACTTCTCACACCAGTATAATGCATTACTGATTAGGTGATGAATGTCGTAAAATGCAACTTCTCACACCAGTATAATGCATTAGTGATTAGGTGATGAATGTCGTAAAATGTAACTTCTCACAACAGTATAATGCATTAGTGATTAGGTGATGAATGTCGTAAAATGTAACTTCTCACAACAGTATAATGCATTAGTGATTAGGAGATGAATGTCGTAAAATGTAACTTCTCACAACAGTATAATGCATTAGTGATTAGGAGATGAATGTCGTAAAATGTAACTTCTCACAACAGTATAATGCAACATACCAACGTATCTTTATAAATATAATTATTTATGTTACTCATGTAGATATCCAAATAAACATGATTATATATTAGTGTATTTCACCTTGTGCTAAAGGTTTTTTTTTTATCTTTGATGGAATTTTGTATACAAACATTTCTCTACTTCCCCGTTATTAGAACGGGAAAGAATAGATTTACACTTTTTGGAATATAATTGAGTGTTTATCTACATTAAATTTAAATAGCTTAAGTCAAGGAGTGGAAGATTACTAACTCCAATTGGGGATACTTCTGATATATCATTTATTTTATCGTAGTTTACCAAATCCTCATGGTCAGTTTTTGAAAAAAAAAAGTAAAATGCGATTCTTTTTATGTTTTGTAAATTAGTAAAATCGATAAAGCAAAGAGAGATGTCCTAACACAAAAAGTATAAAACACTCTTAATTATGTGAATCGTGTACCACACCAGTAACGATATACAAAACACGGGATCAAGTTGAAAAAAATAGAATTTATACTAGTATCTAAACTCATAAAAGTATACTAATTTTAAAATAGAATATAACACCGTATAATCAATTTGCTTATTAGTGAAGAAAAAATACATGAATTGTTATTTGTTTATTCACATGTAAGAAGCCATTTAGAATTCCGTATCAGTCTTAGAAAATAATAATTCTTCATCAAATACGGACCACTAGTAAATTTAGATTACAAAGCTAACGTCGTTAAGGAAATAAAACAACTGTTATTCCTTCTGAACCCAAAAGTTTTACTCTTCTTATAAACGTTCGCGAGTCATGTGTAAGAATTGCCTTGTTCATATTTATATGCCTCTCAGCCATTTTACATTTTATGGTAAACGGGTTTGGAGGGAAGAGGGTGTGCTCCCCCATGGGTCATGCCGCGTCCAATTCCTAAAAGATTTCGTTCATATTTACCACATTGTATAATAACATCGATGTCTACTACTTATCTGATTCTGGGTCACATAGGAAGAGTGACATTTATGCTAAAAGACATTTTCTAGTTCCTTCAGCGTTTTAGAGATTAATTCTTAATACTGTTGACATTGCGGGATTATATTACAACCTTGTTCCAGTTATACAACACCATCGCTATCCTTCATGTAGACATATTTTCATTCAAGAGAGAACTTTACGGAAATGTCCCCAAACCATAGTACAAAAGACACCCCAATGGACTCTGGATATTCATGGATTATTCTCATGGGTGAGTTCATAGTTTAATGTAAAGAATTTCATGAAAAGTATAAAAGTGACTTGGAAAATGTATATTATTCAGTTAAGGAGTCTGATATCACAGTGGTTTAAAATCACAAACTGATCATTATTGTCAGTATAATTAAGCCTCAAATTTGTAAAGTTCACGTATTTCCGTTAAGTTATAATCAGGCAACAGGTCTCGAAAATTCCTTAAGGGATTTTGTCTGTTTAGTCTCGTATACATGTTTGCTTCTCTCAGACTCTTAAATGTTACTAATTGTGAGCCAATTTTAAATTGTAAAGCTATAATAAGGATAAATGCCATGTTTTTATATACTTGGAATAGAGAAGATGAAGTCTTTGATTACGTTGTCATAGAGTGTTTATATTGCTTAACGTTCTAAAAGATATTAATAAAACACCAACATGTCAAATAATCAAAATACAAAACCAATTTCTATAAAATTAAGCCAAAACATGAACAAAAAAGATTCGGAAAGAGACTCCTGAAAAAGTACAAGGAGAATAAGACCAAGTGTTCCGGCCAAGTAAGCGTCCTCTGCTTCAACACGACTCTCGCCTTGGTCAATCCAAGTAAGTGTTACATTCTCAAATGAGAACAAGGTACACAACAACGGAACAAAAACAAAAAAAATCTAATGATCATCAAACACGTCAAGCTTCATATTGTAAAAAGCAAACGACTATTTATAAATGAGATCACAATGGCGACCATAATCTTCCCAATAATTTTCATCAAACTGCATCAACCTGCATCCTTTAAAACCCCGTGATACAAGTTTGTTCGTCAGTTGACGACATCTTGGCACGGCAATCGTGAAAATGGGAACAGGCCTTTGGATATCGCATCAGCGTGAGATATAAACACAATAGGATGGAGATGTAGGGATATTACTATCTAGAAATGGAAAATTCAGAATAGGGAAATTGAAATCCTCACGTTTACCATACAGCTTGGTGGAGAGCTGTCCATGTAGACTTCGTTGTAGGTAAAGATTGAGATAAGCAGCTGATGTAGAAGAGTCTGTACCATTGTTGGACGCCTGCGTTTCCGGTTTACTGCAATGTGTTCGGGCAATGTGTTCTTATGATGGTGTAGAAGTTTTTTCGCAATATAAGAAAATATCAACATACCAGAATAAGGATAGAACGAATCTGCGATGATTACATGAAGTCTCTAGCTTAACAATGTTTACATGTAAGCTTTATCACTGAATTATTTTCAGACAGTTCATTCATCTGAAGAGAGTGTTATGTTTATTTGAATTTTTCCTTTTCATACATAAGAATTTTGCTCCTTTGCAATTTCAAACGATCTATTAATATGATGTTAGTTGATTTAATGTGTTTGCTCTATCGTAGCTTTGTCTGGAATATACATGCTACTAGGAGGAACAGGAAAAGCGTATGGCGTCCTCTACACAG